TTTTTTTTTTTTTTTTTTTTTTTTTTTACAATAGTAGTTTTACGTGCTAAAATCTTCTGCCAAACCTCTTATTAGCAATATTTTGCTATTCATTTAAACCTTCCCCACAGCATTCTCTCTTCTCTGTCAACTGAAAACTCCAGTTCACCACTTCAGCTGAATGACATCTCTGCTGCTTTCCCTCTTCAAATAGTACATGAACATCTCACTGTGGAAGCCAAAGCCGAGATGTAGGCTCTGAAGTCTACACACGCTGTTCTTTTCCTACACCAGCTTTATTATTATTATTCACATTAGTGATCCTGTTCCTGATTTGCTTTTGTGCCAGTAAGGCCAGGATCCAGCTGTATTGTAAAAACCTAGATGCATATGTGCATGCATATGCACGTACACACACATTTGCATGTAACTCGAGATGGGCTTTGAAACATCACAGCCTTCTGTGATGTTTTCTCTCAAGGGTCCCCTCTGTTTTTTTAAATCAGAGAAGTTAAAAGTTAAGAGGTTTTTGGTGAATCACCAGTGGTATTAACCTGTGCTCTGCCAGCAGTTTAATGCCTGGATCATTAGCCTTGTGCAAGGCTCATAGAACTGTAGCATGGAGTCTAGTCCTGGCTGTGCCACTTATCTGCTGAATAGCTTTGCACAAGTCATTTCCCCACTCTCTGCCTCAGTTTCTCTAACTGTAAAATGGGGATAATGAAACTGATCACATGTTTGTAAAGCAATTCCTGAAGCAGCAAAAGATTCTTTTATTTAAACAGAGGATTCTTTAGTTTCATCCCTAAACTACAATATTTTTGAGACATTCCTTTTTATACTAGCAAACAAGAAACACTTGGGTCCTAGTACATGCACAGCTATTTGCTGTGACTTCCAGCGTGCAGGTGAAGTCCTGTTGAAGCTAATAAGACTTTCGTGTGTGGAGTTATATGTGCTTTGAAGCATGATTTGTAGCAATAACTTTTAATTGGTGAAACTTGATTTAGTTACTAGTTAACTTTGTGGTGAAACTGTACTCCAGTACTGTTGGTGTGGAAGAAGTGAGGTTTGGCTTGTATTTATTCATGTTTAAAAATGCGGTTATAGAATGCATGGTTTTGATATGGATATTTAAGAAGCATAAAAGTGGCCTGTAAAATGTTTGAAGGCAAACTTGAAGCAGGTAATTGCACAAAACTTTCATCAGCTGCAAGGGGCAGTGATTTTAGCTACTGGAAGTAGCAAAGCACGCATAGCTATCACTGTTTGTCATCTTTGTACACTGTTTTTTGTGGCCAGAGCACTCTTATGGGATTACATCTTGGATCTGAGTTTGAGAACTGTACTTCACCAAGAACAATATATGCGCATGGATGTGTATGAAATCAGTTTCAAAGGGAGTTGCATGGCTAAATGCTGTAGTATTATATGTAATGGAGTTAATGAAGTAATTCTGCGATAGATTCTGCTTACACAGAATAGTGTATCCAAGCGCAGTTGTGGCATTGAATTCACTGGGTGGAACAACTACTAATTATTCTGAGTTAAGGGCATCACTATTGGCCTCTTGTATGTGGAAGTTACTGTATTCAGAACAAAGATATATTAAAATATGAATGCTTATTTGTCTGACAAGGGGTTCTGTGAATCTTTAATTCACAAATGATTTGTAAAGGGTTTTGAGTTCAAATATTATTATTAACATTATCTATTGAAAGCTTACATACAAAAACCTTCTATTTTAGTCATCTGTAATAAAGATTAAAATTCTCCATGACAAAAACGTCATTATTTTAAATTAAGGTATAAAGTGCATAATATTCTTTTGTTCCTTCCTAGCTGGCTGACCGCAACTGCTTGCCAAGAAATTTCATTAAGGTAGAGAGATCTAACATAATATATCCATAAAGCTATGTGCTTTCTGAAATTGGGGGCTGCCTTTTAATATTGGTGCTGACTATTTTGGGCTCCAGTGGGTTTTGCTTCAGATGCTAATGTTGGCAATTTCCATTTTTTAATCATCTGAATGTATTAATAACATACTCTTAATTATTTCTGACTTGCACTCCACAGTGGCAGTGAAGATGGGTGTTAGTTTGTCCAAGCTCAGCCTTATCAAAAATTTAATATTCAAATCAAAGCTATTTACTAACACGAAAAGCTGCTTACAGCTAACTGATTTCTGAACCACTATATTTAGAATATCAGCAAAAAATTCAAACTAAATCTGAAATTTAATTATCCAGATGCAAACAGCTGATTGCTCAGTGTCAAAACTGAGGTAACATCAGCTAGTAGGAAAACAATTATGAGATAAATTGCTGCTGGTAAGTGATAGTGATGCCACAGCATTAGGCAAGTGACTTAATGTATTATACTACTGTCCTTAAGTGTGTTTTTTTTCCCCCTAAATTAAGTGTGTGAGTCCTACAGGGCAAACCTTTCTTAATAAATTGTGCCTAGGCAGTGCAGAAGACCATTTTTTCTCCCTTCTGATCCTTCTCTTTCTTCTAGCAACTCTGCATACCTGACTGTCAGTAATTATTTGAGTAGAAAATCCCTCCTCCCCCATCACCCCCTCCCTCCTGCTTACCTTCCAGGAGCTGAATCCAATGCCCAGAATGTGACCTTTACCCATGTCTCCCAACTGGAGCCTGCAGCATGACATTATAGAGCTAGCTAGAGTGAAGCCAGAATACTCAGTACAGGTGAAATTCTTTGCTGTGTGGAAGGCTAAGACATACACATCAATAAAGTTCCTTAACTGATTCAGATGACTTGTCCTGGCCTTACAGATAGGGATGACTTTCATGCTAAGTTTTTTTAATTAGGCAAAAATCAAACTCTGAACTGTTGGAAGAACAGCGCAGATGCTGAAAATGGAAATTGTCAGTCTCTCTAAAGGTGTGGATGCTGGTGTAGTGTGTTCAGTGTGGCAAAAGCAAATTTTTTGAAAATAATGTTAATAATGGAATATGGTATATTGTAAGTTTTGAATTCCATATAAAATCCAAGGCTTCAGAATAATATAGCATGGTAAAATACATGATTTTGTAAAGCCCTCTTGAATAGGAGGTGAAAGGCAAATAAGTGATCCTTATCTTGGGGGGATCATTTATAATGCTTATTAGCTTCCAAGTTCAGGAATTGGGATCTCTCTTGCAAGAGTAGATGACTATGCTAACACTGAGAACCAGTCAAGGAAATGTTGCATTTTAGGTGATAGTAGCAGTTTCCACTCATGCCTGGAGATCTGAGACTGGAACACAGGTAAGTAAACAGTAACATAATGTCTCTTGGAGACAAGGATTTTTGTGGGTGATAGCTTCCAGTGGACCAGACAGAAGTGCAGCTCCCTGGTCTCATAGTTTCATGGTTGCTAGGGGCTGGCCATCTTCAATCAGTTCGTGACCATTATTTTTGGTCCTCCCCTGGGAGCCTTGGTGAATAGTTGCTCCCCCAGGCCCTGATGTATTTATAGGCTACCACCAAGTCCCTTCCAAGTCTTTTCTTCACCAGACTGAATATTCTCAAGTCTTTCAGCCTCTCGTATGATCTGGTCTCTAGGCCTCTAATAGTGCACATGGTCCTCCTTTGGACTGTCTCAAGCTTTTTCACATCCTTCCTGATGTGCGGTGTCCAGAACTGGATGCAGAACTCCAGCTGCTGTCTCACCAAGGCTGAGTAGAGAGGGAGGATGACATCCTTGCCTTGCTCAAGATGCCTTGGTAGATGCATGCCAGCATCTGATTAGCTCTGCCAGCTATGACATTGCATTGGTGGCTCGAGTTCACTTTGTTGTCAGTCATGACACCCAGGTCTCATTCAGTTGTGATGTTGACAAGCATAGCACTGCCGAGCCTGTAAGTGTGTTCAGATAGAGCACTTGCCATTTCTCTGTATTAAATGACATCAGGTTGAAGTCTGCCCACCTCTGTGAGCCTGCCTGGGTTAGCTTATCTTTGTGTGTGGCCACACTCCCCCATAATTTGGTGTCATCAACAAACTTTGCCAGTTTATAGAAAGCACCATGAGTTAGACCAACCCTTCCAGCCCAAAAAATGTTAGCTGTTGGGTTGGGAGAGTAGGAAATCAAGCTCCAATTTAGAGCCTATCCAGTGAGAGAGACTATGGGTCTGCAGCTTCTTCCCCTTGCTCTGCCCCCCTGCACCCCTGCAGCTCTAGTGCTGTCTCAGGATGGGAGGGGGAGAAGGCAGGGGAGGGAGGTCCATTCTAGGGTTTGCCTAGTTGTGCTGGAGTGGAAGAGTAGGGGGGGGCAGGTGGATTGGGGGCCCCCCCCCCCCACTGCCCCTCCCTCCAGCATGGTGGCAAACCCAGAATGGACTTCCCTCCCCTGCATTCTCCCTCTTCTATCCTGAGATAGCACTGGGGATGGGGCTGAGTTGCTTCAGCCCAATTGCCAGAGCAGACAGAAATTAATGAAGGTGCTCTGCTTTGGAGTGCCTTCATTTGAGGCCTCTTATAATGGAGGTTCATTAGTCATATGATTGGAGTGCTCTGCAACCGTGCTCTTCTGTTTGGGCATGGGTGTAGAGCACTTTCAAGGAGCTGATTGCATGGCAAATGTGATTTCTGTCTGTACCTAGAGTGAAGTTAGACAAACTTTTGAATGCAAGGTATTTTTCATTATGCCTGAGTGAAGAAGCCTCAGTCCCTCACATCTGAAGAAATGCCTTGAAGTTAGATAAGCTTTCAAATGCATCACAGCCATACAGTTGGTTCAATAAAAGATATCATCCACAAAAATCCTTGCCCCTTGTATAATTCCTGGATTGTCATGGCTACAACATTACTCCAACACTACCATACAGCATCTTTCAGTTATTCTTGCTTCAAAATACTACTCACCTTACATATTTGGTTGCTGATTTGGAATCTGAAGTGTATTCTATGCATGTCTAAGTTGTAGGTGGTTAGGTGTGTTAGTCTGAAGTCACTCAAGGCAGGGGAGATATGCACCTTATAGACTAACTAAATAAGATATATACAGTACAAGCTTGTGTGTGTGTGCATGCTAAACATGTTATAGTACACACATGCACACACATCCATATATACACGTGTGTATACATATACAGGCGTATGTGTATATAAGAAACATATTTGTGTGTGTGTGTGTGTATGTAGACACACATACATAGATATATACACATATATAATGCTATCCTTTTGCAGCATCTGATAATGTGAACTCAAATTCACAAAAGCTTGTGCCATATATGTAGAAAACTTATGTGCCATAGATGTGGCACAAATGTTTGAATTTGAGTTCAAATCATCAGATTTGAACAACTTAGAACAACGTAGAGCAGTGATGCTAAATCTTTTTGCCCTACGGGATGGCTGCGCAGTGCCCAGTTTGTCCACAGGCTGGATCTAGCTGGTGTGCCAGATTGGGTGTGAGCGGCCTGATCTGACTGCAGTGTGTGGCTAGTGGCAACCTGGCTCTGATCTAGCCATGTGGGGGTGAGGGGGAAGGGCATAGTTTGGCCATGTGGGGCATGAGAATTTGGCAGTGGGGGTGGGGTTGGTAGTATTATTTGCCACTACTCCACGCTGTCAAATTGCCCAACACATGGGGAGCCCCATGGACTGAATGTTGTGGCTCTGTAAACTGGGGGTTGAGCACCTGTGGCATAGAGTAGTGTATAAAATGGAGTGAGTGATGTTTAAGACTTCCAGTTCATCTTTCAAAATTATTCTGCTAACTAAAGAGTTACAACAGTGTGGAAAAGCTGTTTTCATGGAAGATGGGTTGATGCAACATCAACATTAACTTGTGGAAGACTGTCACCCACGACTGCCCCAAATTGGGGAAGAGTCTGCTGTAAGAAGCTCAGTACTTGAAACCTTATGATAAGAACAGGAGATGGAAAAGTGGGAGCAGCAGAAACAGCATGTCGTGGACTGAATAAAGAATCTTGAACAACCCACCCCACATGGAAATGTGCCTGAGTTGCAGTAGTCTGTTGATCCAGGATAACCAGTCATCTTTGGACCCACAGATGAGACAATCATGGAAGACTGTCATTCGTGACTGCGAGGGTTGGCCAAAGACAGCAGTCTGACTAGATCTCTTCTATATGAAAATTTTGCTTTTTAACTTAGAATAAATACTAATGAACTACAGGCCAAGTTCTGATCTTGTCCCATTTTTACATGTTTCCGTGGCCATTGACATGATTTCACAGAGGTAAACAAAAAGCATTGTTAGGCCCTGGTCTGTTTTGCTAGAGAAAAATCTTTTTCATATGGAGGAAAAAATACCTCCTGATGTAGTGGCTGATGAGCTATATCACTTTGTCAGGCAATGAGCAGAGCAGTATAACTTGCAGTCTACTGTCTATTTTGCTTAACTTCAGTAAGTTACAGCAGTCTAAAGACTAAGCTTGTAGTATTGCTGTAATAAATAGATAAATAAATAAATAAAAGTTGTGAACCACTGGAATGTCTACAGTTTGTGACACTGTTTGCAGTTGTCCAATTGTTTCTCGTACATCTTTCCATCCCTTCCTAAACGCAGTCACTTAGCAATAAATAAGAACTTCAAACGTACAATATTGTTAGAAGATGCTTTCTAACAGTGTGGAACTTCATGAGATTGATGCTTTGTTCTGTTTTCTATTCAGCTGAGACTAGCTTTAACAGACCATGGGATGGTAGAAGAAAAAAAAAACATCCACAAGTTAAAAAATAAAATAATAAAGCATCTGGAGGGAAAAATTAAATCACTATTCTAGTAAAGGTTCTAATATTTCAGTGGGATGCAGATACAAACTGGAAATTTGTGACCATGTTTTTATGTCCTGTAGAGACATTCAGCTATTACAACTGAAGATAAAGGAGAGAATAACGTT